TTTGTAACATGCTTGAAGGAAGGAACTTAAACAAACGCTACATCCCTGTGAGACTTGAGCCTAAACGTTATTTGGAGAGTTATAATCTTTGCATCATTGTTTTCTAAGTCGTTGCATGATCTCATTATTCATTGCTTGGTTACTACTTAGAAGGCGTTTCATCACTTAGTTCCAAATGCTAGAACTCATGCCCATTTCATTCAAAGCATGTCATTGATTTGCATACCACATATTCAAGATGAAGTTGTGTAGTGACCACCACCATAGCCAAATTGCCATATTTCCCTTTTCATTTGTTTTGTAGGATTTAACCCTGTTGAGCCTTGTTTAGCCTACTTTCTTTGTTAACCCGCATTATCCTCACCTAGCCTAGATTAGGACCATCCTTACCCTTGTTCTTGAAGCATAGTAAGCAATGAATTCCTTTTGATTAATGTGTTGCAGGAAATAAGTGTGGGGGAAAGAGTATTTATGTGAGTTTTTGTGCCATAGGCACGGTTAGAAAAAAAAAAAGAAGAAAAGAAAAAAAAGGATGAAAAAAAAAAAAATGAAAAAAAAAAGTGAAAAAGAGTTCCAAAGTATTGGTTGTTGAAGTAAGGGCCCAAAACAATGAATTAGGCCCTAAGAGTTGTTTGAATCTCCCCTGTTTGTCTAAAAGTTGATTTCTGCATTCTAAGGGAATTCTAGGTCTTAATTTCATTACTCTATTTACTATTGCTTAAAGAACTTTTGTTTATCCCTACCTTTTCTTGTTAGCCAATACCCCAAGCCCCGTTACAACCCTTGACTTCTATCTTGAGTGTTGTGCATTTCAATTGTGGAGTTTGAATTTGGTATGAGCATATGGTGTCACTGGTTCTCGCATCTAAGTAGTAGCATTCCATTCATGAGATCATATCTAAACACATTTAATTACTCCAGAAATTGCTTTCTTTGTATAACGTATGTGAGTACTAGTCTTTCATGTTTACATCAATCTTCTCACATATAACTAGTGTAGGGTGTGTAGTCAGAAAATTTGAGTGAAAATTGAGTGCATAACGAGTGAGGAATTGAGGGAATTCTCTAAGGCATGTTACTACATTCAAAATGTGTTTTATTTGATTAAATGCGAACTAGTGAATGGTGACTATGATTAAGTATGTGCTTAAGGGGAAGTAAGACTAAAAGTTATGTGCGTAATGATTTTTGACATGTCATGTTCATTGGAAATCCCTGAGGCAAACGTTGGAAGGTTTAGGTTATGTTTTGTTTGTTTTGTTTCGTATTGTTTACTTTAGTTGTTTTGTTTTGCTCGAGGACTAGCAAAAGTTAAGTGTGGGGGAGAGTGCACGGCATTGAGTTGTTTTGTGTTAGTTTTGGGGTTGTGATGCATGTGTTGAATGATGGAAAGGGACATGTGGGGTGTATATGTAAAGGGAATGCAAAGTGAATGAATAATGAATGCATGTGCACTGTTTTTGGGAGAAAGGTGGCTGAATGTGCATGTGAATTAGGTTGTGAAAACATGTGGAATGTGGCTTGAATTGATGAGTAATGCACGGCATTGTTGTTGGTTCTTTGGTGATGAATGCAATGATGAAATGGATGGGAGTGCATGTGGATTAGGTGGTGTAATGATGAAGTGGGAAGTGGAAGAATGTGGTTGGAAATAGGAGAGGGAAGGCACGGCACAAAGGGTGAATGTGTGTGTGAATGGTGGTGAAAATGCATGTGATGAAGAATGAATAAAGAAATGCATGTAGGGTTAGCTAGGTTGGCTTTGTTTGGATGCATGTGTTGGCTCAATTATATTGTTGGGAAGGCATGTGGATTAGGTAGAATGTAGGTGGGTTATAATGATGAATGCATGTGTTTGCAAGGAGGAAAGGTGCAGAAAATGGAAACACATTGCACGGCAATGTGTTTTGGGTGCATGTGTGTGAATGTTTTGCTTAATGATTAAGGGGGAAAGCTTGGAAAGCATGTGGCTAGGTAATGTGAGTGAATGATGTGCATGTGTGTGAATGCATGTGGAATTAAGAAGAGTATGGAAGTGAATAAATCATAATAGGGCTAGTTTAAAGGGCTAGGGTTTAAGTACATAGAATGGGCCTAAAATAGGTTGGTTTGCATGGCATAATATGTTTGATTGGGCTAGAGGTTTTCCATGGCTCAAAGGATTTGTTTGATTGGGCTAGGCCCTTTGTTTGATGTCCCCAAAGAGCATACAAGGCTTCAATTTCATCCATCCTCTTTGCTCCATGATTAAGCTATCCAATCCATGCCCAAAAATGCTCCAAATAGCCTCAAAATGCACTTTCTTGCTCCCTAAGCCCTTAGAACCTGAAAACACACAAAAGAAGCATAAAGGACTAAAATAACTAGAGAAACATAACGTAAACGTACGAGAACAAGCCATTTAAGTCGCATGAATATGCTCCTATCAAGTGCCAAATGCATCCAGGCTTAACCATATACATCACAACCACTAACATCATAATGTACTCACCTGTAGCTTACCTGGGCTCCTCAACATCGTGTAATAATAACTACAACAATGCATATACTAAAATAAAACATAAGTATGACATGGAATTTCAATCACATTTCATTTAAAACAATTTCTGGGAAAAGCGTAAAGTATACATATGTGTGTGTGTGTGTATATATATATATATATATATATAGAAAACCAAAAGCCCACTCACCTGGAGTCCGCGCTACAACTCCCGTATATACCTATATACTAGAGATTTTTCCCAAAAAATAGATTTAAATGAAATTATATTTAGAAATGCCATGCATATTGATTTATACGTAGATCATCATTGAATTAATATAGTATGCATAAATGTGATTTGACGATGTGCACGCTCAAGTACGTACCAGGTTAGTTGTAGATTGTTTATGAAAATTGATGATTATGTGACATGTGTTGAGAGCTCATAAACCTGCACCTTGGTGGTAGTGATCCCGCCCTAGTTAGGGCATATTCCTTCACGTGATGTTCACCTCCCACGCCATACACTCACCTTGGATCCAAGTTAAGAGCACAGTCCTACTGTACAGACCACTATAGGTGGTTCTAACTCGTAGGTGACCCGCGATTATTCACACAGTCTTCACGTAATCGTAGCACTTGAGCGTATTTATTTACACCTAGTCATGTCGTACAGACCACTTTAGGTAGTTCCAACTCGTGTGCAGGTATATTTGTATATTTGTTAAGATGTGGATTTGAGTCGTACAGGTCATATTAGGTGACTCCGGCTAGATGGATGAGCTCTAGATTCAGCCGTACAGGTCATATTAGGTGACTCCGGCTGATATCATTTTGCATTGATTTATATCACCTGGCTTACATATTTTTATGCTGAGATATCCGACATGGCATATATATGAGGATTTTGCTATTTTGAGCATGGTTGTGGTATAGTTATGTATTCTATTTTCTGGAAAATTGTACAAGTTTTACGACAAGGGGTTACTATCTTTGATAATTGAAATGGTTTTGAAAAGCTTTGTTTTTGCCCACTCACACTTTCTGTTTTGCGCCCCTCCAGGTTCTAGTTAGGAGTGTTTTTTGGTGGCTTGCGAGGAATCCACGGCAACTCTTACAAATTATCACCATTGTATGGTCATCTTTGTGTGTTGTATAATTAGTATTCGTCTTGCTGGACTGCACTTAGGCTACTTATGCTCTGGTTGTAAATTCACACTTAGTTTCATTTTGCACTTATTCTTATCTAGTGCTATAGTTAGTTTGGCTTTTTATTTATTCGCATTTCTTATATTAATATTGCTTCCGCACTGTGCACATGGCTACGCCACCCTCACGTGACAGCCAGCCCACCTTGATTTCGGTCGGGGTGTGTCAGTTTGGTATCAGAGCCTAGGTTTGGCAGTCCTGCATATTTTGTGAATATTCTAATTATTTTGGTGTCTTTTATCAGAACTATGCCGCCTCGTAGAGAGCCACGTCGTCCAGCTAAGCCTAGTTTCCCCGATATAGCTCAGTTAGGGGAAGCTATAGCCAATGCGATTCAGTCTTCGCTTTGCCCTCCTCAAAGAACTCCCCTAGAGACTATGTATAACTTGAAGTTGGATAAGTTTAAGGGTAATGAACGACATGAAGGAGTAGAGCGGTGGCTCGATCATCTTGGAAAGACTTTCCAAGTGATGCAAAGTTAAGGGAATCTTCCTCTTGAAAGGTGGGTCGAGACGACTACATGGTTCTTAGGTAAAGAACCAGCGTCCGAGTGGAGATAGAAGGCTTATCAGTTGACCCTAGAGGAAATTACTGACTGGGAAGTGTTTAAACAGTTGTTTCAAAAAAGGTTTATTCTTCTTGAGTATATTGACCGCAAGAAGCAAGAATTTACTCAATTGAGACAGGAGAAGACGACGGCGAATGAGTATTACAAGAAATTCACTGACTTGTCTCATTATCATCCGGATGTTGCTGCTAATCCAGTTGAGATGCTCCGTCGTTTCAGATTGGGTACTAAGAAGAAGTGGCGTTCTATGACGACCATTACTCATTGTGCTTCTTACCAGGAGTTCTATAAGATTTTGTTGAGGATTGAGGATTCAAAGAATATGGCTAGTGAGAGTGAAGACGAAGAAGAAAAAGACGGCAATCAGAAGAGAGATGATAAAGGTCAAGGTCAATCATCTCAAGGACCTCGCAAGACTCAGAGCTTTAAGCGAAGTGGAGCTAGTTCTAGTTCTTCCAGCGGGGGTTTTAGTGCCACTGGTCAGAGAAGAGGTGGTAGATTTTCTAAGGGTCCTAGATTCCAGAGACAGGGGGTGCTAGTAGAGGAAGTGCTTCATTGTGCTGCAGATGTAATAACAGACATTTTGGGGAGTGTAAGAGAGGCAGCAATGGATGTTTTACTTGTGGTCAAATGGGGCATAGAGCTATAAATTGTCCTCAAAATCTGCAAAGGCCCCAGCAGCCTTCCTTACCACCACCAGCGCTGATCCAGCAAGTTCCAGAGTTCAGTAGTTATGGTCAGATGGGTCATGGTGGTGCTTACCATTATCAGGGTGACGCCACTCCTTATGCTTCATCCCAGTATCAGTATTCCCAGGATCCTTATTATCAAAGTGGGTATCCTCAGTATTTTGTAGGCTATAAGCTGTATCTTTCCATTCCAGTTGGTGGATCTCAGTAGTACCAAGGAGGACAGCCTCAGCAAGTAGGGATTACTTCCAGTAGTGCAGGATCTTCGAGGCAACCTGGTTAGCCAAATCAAGGCCGTGGTGTGCAGGGGCTAAATAATCAAGCTAGTTAAGGTCGTGGGGGACAACAACAAGCCCAGGGACGTATTAACAATATCTCTCTGCAGGATGCTCAGAATCATCTGAACTTGATCATGGGTACGTTAAACATTCTTGGTCACTTTGCTAGAGTTTTAATTGATTGTGGTGCTACGCATTATGTCATTTCTCATACGTTTGCTCAAGTGACGCAACCTCATCCTACACGTCTAGGGTATGATTTAGAGTTTGCTATGCCTAAAAGGGAGAGGTGTTATGTTGATTGTGTTTATCCAAGATGTCCAGTGATGGTAGAGGATATAGTTATGCCAGCTAACCTTATCTCATTAGATATTGTTGATTTTGATGTGATTTTGGGCACATATTGGTTGCATTATAATCAAGCCAATATAGATTGCTATGGGAAAACAGTTACTTTCCATCGTCCTGGATTACCTGAGGTTACTTTTGTGGGTGAGCAAAGTAGGGTAAGGCATGGTGTTATTTCTGCCATAAGAGCTAAAAAGTTGTTAGAGAAAGGTTGTCAAGGATATTTGGCTCATGTGGTGCTGAATGATAATGTTCCTAACAGTGTAGAGGATGTGCGAGTAGTCAGGCATTTTTCTTATGTATTCCCTGATGATTTACCTGGATTGCCGCCAGACCGAGATGTGGAGTTCATTATTGATTTTCTTCCAGGTACAGACCCTATATCTTTAACTCCTTATTGAATGGCTTCTGTTGAATTAAGGGAATTGAAGATTCAGTTGCAAGAATTAGTTGTTAAAGGTTTTATTCGGCCTAGTACTTCACCCTGGGGAGCTCCAATGTTATTTGTGAGGAAGAAAGATGGAACTTTGACACTATGCATTGATTATAGGCAATTAAATCGGGTAACAATTAAAAACCGTTATCCATTACCTTGTATAAATGATTTATTTGAGGTCTAGTTACTATCAGGTAAAGATTAAAAGTGAGGATGTTCCTAAGACGGCTTTTAGGACTTGATATGGTCATTATGAGTTTCTTGTGATGCCATTCGGATTAACTAATGCACCTGCAACTTTTATGGATTTGATGAATAGAGTATTCCAACCATATTTAGACAGGTTGTCATTGTTTTTATTGACGATATTCTGGTATACTCTAAGTCTAAATCAAAGCATGTTCGACATCTCACTTTGGTGTTGAAAAGATTGAGGGAACACCAATTGTATGCTAAGTTTAGCAAATGGCAATTTTGGTTAGATCAAGTGGCATTTTTGAGACATGTTATATCCGCCCAAGGTATTCTGGTGGACCTTCAAAAGGTAGCAGCCGTTGAGAATTGGAAGCAGCCACGAACCGTCACGGAGGTACGGAGTTTCCTTGGTCTACCAGGTTATTATCAACGGTTTGTTAAAGATTTTTCAATTATTGCATTACCACTAACGAGATTGGCAAGGAAAGATGTTAAATTTGAGTGGGACGATAATTGTGAGTAGAGCTTCCAGCAGTTGAAGTATTGTCTCACTCATTCACCTGTTTTGGCGCTCCCAGATGATAGTGGTAATTTCGAGATCTACAGTGACGCTTCCTTGAACGGTCTGGGTTGTGTGTTGATGCAGCATGGTAGGGTGATTGCTTATGCTTCACGACAATTAAAGCCTCATGAGATGAATTATGCTACTCATGATCTGGAATTAGCAGCCATTATCTTTGCTTTGAAGATTTGGAGACATTATCTTTATGGTGAAAAATGTAAGATTTATACGGATCATAAAAGTCTCCAATATCATTTTACCCAGAGGGATCTTAATCTTTGGCAGCGAAGGTGGATTAAGTTGCTAAGTGATTATGATTGCATGATTGAGTATCACCCTGGTCGTGCAAATGTGGTGGTTGATGCACTTAGTAGGAAGACTCAAGTTAGACTTAATGCTTTGTATGCTTGTCATGTTCCTCTTCTTGCTGATTTAAGGTCCACTGGAGTGAAGTTAGGGGTGGAAGCTCGAGAAGAAGCTTTGCTTGCTAATTTCTAAGTTAGACCAATTTTAATTGATCGTGTGCTCAAGGCTCAGATGAATGATGAAGAAATCCAGGAGTTAATTGAAGCAAGAAGTCAAGGGAAAAAGAAAGATCTTAGAGTTTGGGAGACTGATGGCATGCTTATGCAGGAGAACAGAATGTACTTGCCAAATAATACGGAATTAAAGAAAGAAATTTTGGATGAAGCGCACTGTTCGGCTCATGCAATGCATCCTGGAGGTACTAAAATGTATCATACCATTCGACCATTTTATTATTGGCTGGGTATGAAAAGAGAAATTGCTGAGTATGTGAGTAGGTGTGCCATTTGTCAGCAAGTTAAAGCTAAAAGGAAGAAGCCTTTTGGGTTGATGCAACCACTTCCTATTCCATAGTGGAAATGGGAAAACATTACTATGGATTTTGTGTACAAGCTTCCTCATACACATAATGGTTATGATGGCATTTGGATGATAGTTGATCGGCTCACTAAGTCAGCACATTTTATTCTAGTGAGGGAGAAGTATTCTTTAAGACGATTAGCTGAATTATTTATATTGAAGATTGTGAAGTATCATGGAGTTCCAGTTAGTATTGTCTCGGATCATGATCCCAGGTTTACTTCTATGTTTTGGGTAGCATTCCAGGAAGTTCTTGGTTTGAGGTTACTTTACAGTACAACATATCATCCTTAGATAGATGGAAAATTAGATAATACTATTCAGACGTTAGAGGATATGCTGAGATCTTCAGCTTTACAATTTGGTGACGCTTGGCATAAGCGATTGGATTTGATGGAATTTTCCTATAACAATAGTTTTCATTCAAGTATTGGTATGGCACTATTTGAGGCACTTTATGGCAGGTCTTGTCGTACACCTTTGTGTTGGTCAGAGGTTGGTGAGAGAGTTTTGGTGGGCCCTTAGTGGTGGAGACTACTCAGAAAATTCAGGTGATTAAATCTAACCTGAAAGCGGCCCATGATCGACAGAAGAGCTTAGCAGATAAACATGCCACTAACAGGCTGTATAAAATGGGTGATTGTGTATTTTTAAAGCTTTCACCGTGGAGAGGTGTGGTACGGTTTGGGAAGAAAGGTAAGCTAAGTCCTAGGTACATCGGACTGTATGTGATCACCAAGAGAGTCGGTGAACTTGCTTACAGGCTTGAGTTGCCTCCAGAGTTGTCTAAAGTGCATGATGTGTTCCATGTTTCCATGCTTCGTCATTATGTTTCAAATCCGTCACATGTGATACCTCCTCAACCTTTGGAAATTAATCCAGATTTGACTTATGATGAGGAGCCAGTGACTATTCTGGATTGGAAAGATAAGGTTCTAAAAAATAAGACCTTGCGTTTAGTGAAAGTTTTGTGGAGGAATCACTTAGTGGAAGAGGCTACTTGGGAGACAAAGGACCAGATGAAAGAAATGTATCCACGCTTGTTTTATGATTATTAGTTGTTTGTATTTGTTGTGTGAATTTCGAGGACGAAATTTTTCTTAAGGGGGATAGGTTGTGACAACCCGTCCCGAATGCGTATATTATTTTATCCTCGATAACGTAAAATGACTTTTATACCCTTGGACATTAGATGATGTTCTATGACATGCATTTTTGGTTATGGTCCAATTCATGTTTTCCTTAGTTTTTGGAACCAATTAGAACTTAGGTTTTATTTTATTTTCTTTTGTTTTGGTTGGCTGCCATATGGACCACACACACACATCCATATCATTCTCCCGTTGTCTCTCTCTCCTCCCTCTCGGATTTTCTTGCCATTTCCGCACAACATGTTCGGACAACCCTCAAAACCCTATCAAACATCACGGATCAAGGTCGTGAATGGTGTTCTTGGACTCCATGCAAGCTTAGGAGTCAAATGGTGGTGGTGGTTGGACGTGAAAACCTCGGAAACCCTTGAAACTAGAATTCCCAATTTGGGTTACTGTTCATGCAGTCGTGATCGTGGACTTTTCTTTGAGTTTTAAGGTTCTAGGGAGTTTTAGGACGTCTTCACGAAGCTCGGGGAAGAAAGTTGGAGAGTTTTGGACGTCGAGAAGCTTAGTTTTGGAGAGTTGCAGTGATGGCCAGATTATCGTGGGTTTTTTCGGCCAGATCCCATTGGATTTAAGTCCTAAAAGTGGTAAGATTTTGTTCTACTCGTTGTAAGCTTCATTTCGGTACAAATTTCATGGATTTTGGTTAAGAAATGAGAAAGATATGAAGTTTTAAAATTTTTCCAAAAACCGGCGAAAATTCGAGTTTCAGACGGTGCTGTTGACGGCGGTGGACGGCGGCGACTGGCGAGGCTCGCCGGAGAAGGAGACGAATATTCCGTCAGAGTTGACGGAATATTCTAACGGCGTCAAGTAACGCCGTTAACTTCTGTTAAGGTTTTGACGAAATATTCCACGGAATATTCCTAACTGCTGTTAACTATTCCATTAAGGTTGGCCGCATGTGGAGGCGGGCCAAGCCGTGCCTTGGCCAACGCGTAAGTGGTCGGAAATTTTTTCTAAAAATATGAGGATGTTCGTGGTGTTGAGTAGATCACGTCGGTATATTCAAACACCCCATTTGAGCAATGTATGAGAAGCTATTAGATAGTTTTGTTTATGTGCTTTAAATTAACGTTTATATAGTTGTTTCGCATATAGGTGAGACCTATCCTCTGGACGAGCGCAATCAATCGAGGTTTGGGGGCTACGACCCTTCCACATACCAAAGAATGGGCTTTTTGTTTTCTGTACATACCTATATACTTGAGATTTTTCCCAGAAAATCGATTTAAATGAAATTATGTTTAGAAATGCCATGCATATTGATTTATACATAGATCATCATTGAATTAATATAGTATGCATAAATGTGATTTGACGATGTGGACGCTCAAGTAAGTACCAGGTGAGTTGCAGATTGTTTAAGTAAATTGATGATTATGTGAGATGTGCTGAGAGCTCATAAACCTGCACCCCGATGTTAGTGCTCCCGCCCTGGTTAGGGCACAGTCCTTCACATGATGTTCACCTCCTGTACTATACGCTCACCTTGGATCCAAGTTAGGTGCATAATCCTATCGTACAGACCACTATAGGTGGTTCCGACTCGTAGGTGACCCACGATTATTCGCACAGTCTTGACATGATTGTAGCACTTGAGCATATTTATTTACACCTAGTCATGTCTTACAGACCACTTTAGGTGGTTCCGACTCATGTACAGGTATATTTGTTAAGATGTGGATTTGAGCTGTACAGGTCACGTTAGGTGACTCCGGCTAGATGGATGAGCTCTAGATTCACCCGTACAGGTCACATTAGGTGACTCTGAAGGAAGATTTGTGAAAAACAAGTTCATTTGAGCAACATCAACAACATGCAATTAACAATTAAAAGGCGGAATCATATTTATATGCACTCAAAAACAAAACTTAACCCATGAACTTCAAAGCCTAGTAGATAGGTGAACCAAGACTCAACTCAAAACAAAGTGAGTTGAGAAATCAATACCTTTGTAGATTCCTCTTTGCATAACCAAAGGCTAATCACCCAAAGAGAGGGCCTTCATTCCTTGCATCTTAGATCCATGGATTTGGATGGATGAAAAGGTTTCTCCAAGTTCCCAAAATTGAGAACCTCTAAGTCTCCACACCAAGGCATAATGTAGAAGAAATGAGTGACCTTGAGGAAGTAAGATTGCTAGATGTTTTCCTCAAGGGTGGC